TTTTTAGTGCACTCAAATTAACACTCTCTTCGACTCCACTTAAGTTCGGCCTTATATATGCATTATTGGATAATTTTTTAAACAATTCGGTGGGTTGATTCTTAACGATGTGAGGACAAGGATCCTATAACATTGATTATTACTAAAAAGATAAAATAAAATTTCATTGCACTCTTACCAAACGGCATCGTATCATTTTTTTAAAAAGGCCAAAACTAGTGTAGTTGTGTTAAGTGCCTGAACTCTTCTCATTTTTTTTATATAAGTCCTAAAAAAAGTAATACAAGTTTTTAAATATTTGTATTTGAGCAAATTTACTCTTATTTTAACGGTAGAATGACATGCGGTTATACAAGTTAAACATTCTTTTTTTTTTTCCTTACACTTATGTAACAATTTCTTTACATTTAAATGTGACGTAAAATAAGATTTACTAATTTAAGTTTTTATTTTGAGATTTTGAGTTATACTTTTTAGAAATTTAAATATAAAAAAATTATTACATCAACATTAAATTATGAAGAAATTATTATGCAAGCAAAAAAACATAAGACTATTAACTCATATGATTGCATATGATTTTGCTGTTAATAACTTAATACAATGATTAATGTGGTGAAATCTAAGTATTTAGGTGATTGCATGCCACCTTTTATTGGGGGCTTATGTTAGAAAATAGGGAAAATCTAAGGGCTTAACATTTGTGTTTTGCCTTGAGAAAAACCTACTTCAAGAAAGAAGAGAACTGGAAGGGAAAGAAGGAAATCGGAAAACCGGATTAGATGGAAGTGGAAGTGGACGAGAAGATCCTGAAAGCGGCAGGGGCTGAGTTACTGACGGATGGACGGCGAGGACTGAGACTCCACGGCTGGGAGATCGAGTCTCGCAAGCGCTCAATCCTCAGCTCTTCCTCCCTCCAAGAGTACTCTCTCGTTCTAGCAACGACAATGCACTGGTGTTTGAATCAGAAAATTCAATTTTGTTTAATCTTATTATTTAATTCCTCCCTTGAATCATGATGCTCTTGCAGATGGGAGGAGAAGCTACAGACGTCTCACCTGCCGGAGATGATTTTTGGAGAAAGTTGTTTGGTGCTGAAACACATCGGTAGTGGCACCAAAATCCATTTCAATGCATTTGACGCTCTGGCTGGATGGAAGAAGGAAGGTCTGCCGCCAGTTGAAGTTCCTGCTGCCGCAAAGTGGAAATTCAGGAGGTGACACCATTTTTTTTCCTGCTTTTGTAATTAGCACATGATAATTGATGTGAGATTGTTTTTAACTTAGATGTCCAGTAACATTTCAAATCCTCTTTGCTATGCAAGCTTGAGCCTTTTCTCTATTTCTTACTGATTGAGGCCAGTTTTCTGTAAAAATTAATTGTAACTTTGTTGATGATGGACAAATTCGAGTAATTCTTCTGTGTGTCTCTTATGATGCTCTAGGGGTTTAGTGAGCTAGGGTTTTAGGTTAAGGATTTTGAGGGCTTATGTTGCGGTTAAGGATTTGTGGGGGGAGGATTTGCTTTGGACTGCTAGAGTTACTGTTATAGCAGTGGATGTTGCTTTGGATTTGCTTTATGTACCTTTGCCTCAATAAACTAAATATCGTAATCTCAATAATCAGAACTTCAAGTGCCTATTAAACTGTGAAGAGCACACAGGAATTTATGTGACAAGGGCTATTCCTTAACAAAGAACATGAATGTGGGAGTATACTAGTTTGCTTACTGGGAAGGGGGCAAAAAAAGGAAATGAAAAAGTGGGCAAGAAAATAATCAATACTAAGAAACTAACCAAAGTATGTTGCAACTCGCAAGAAATGAAACATAACTCATTAGAGACTCTAAGAATAACCTAAACTTAATTACATAAACAACCTTGGATTTTGAGGGCATTAATTTTAAAAATTATACTTTATCCTCAACATGAAAAGTTACACAACAAAGAGTAATTTGAGTTTAATAATGGCAGCAGCAGACCATCTTAAAGAAATCCGATTCAGTCTGATAGTGTATTTCTTAATCTTGCAGCAAACCTTCCCAGCAGGTGATACTAGACTATGACTATACATTTACAACGCCATATTTTGGAAGTGAAGTGACTGAGATAGATCCAGATAAGGTTAGTATTCCCTCTTTATCCATTGACTTTGTTAAAATTGTTCTCTGAATTGGAATTTTATGGCCTTTCTTATGGGGTTCTCATTTGGTTTGGGATACAAAAAGTCTCCTTTGTTAATAGTTGTAATGTTACATTAATAATGGCAAATGATGATATTATCATTGTACTGTCAATTATGATCAGCATGGAAGTGGGGAAGTTTCTGAGATTAGCTCCGGTCTGCATTGGGAAGACACTGAGGAGAAGCTTGATCTTGTTGCATTGGCACTAAAAGAACCTATTCTCTTCTATGATGAGGTGAGCTTGTTGGATTTAACTAGCCCAAAGTTGAAGTACTTCTGTGCACTTGTTACATAATATGTCTGCACATAAAAATATATATTGTGCTCATCTCTATGCATATGTATTTACATAGACATTTATACTGTCTTTTGCAAGATCTTCATGACATTCATAACATTCATATACTTGCAGTTACAGAAGTTATCATTATTAATTCTGCAGGTGGTATTATATGAAGATGAATTGGCTGACAATGGAGTGTCACTTCTAAGTGTGAAAGTGGTAAATGATATATCTCTAATTCTCTATTGAGTTGTGCTTGTGTGATATTGTTTCTGTATCAAAGTAGCCTGTGGGCTGTCTTCTTAACTACTTTACAAAAGTGGCATTAGCATGACCAGGAATAACATCTTTTCTTTTCCTCTTTTCCACTTTCCTTTTGTAGAGAGTCATGCCAAGCTATTGGTTTCTTCTCCTACAATTTTGGGTGAGAATCATTCTTCTGTATATTCTGAAATCTGAATGATTAATTAAGCCAATCCATTTTATTTGAAAGTTTCTAAGAGTATGCACAAGAAATCTAGTGTTCTTGTTTGCTGATTTATTCTCCCTGTTAGTCACTTACTAAGTTTCTAACAGCTTCGAGTTGATGGTGTACTTATGAGATTAAGGGATACCCGCATGCATTGTGTTTTTGACAAGAATGCTGACCCTGTCATTATCCGAGAAAGATGTTGGAGAGAATCCACATTTCAAGCTTTATCTGCAGTAAGTTTATGATCCATTTTCCTTCTTGCCCACACTCATATCCCCTAGTCTCCCTTCTATTTAATATTTGTTAAGTGTGTGTGTGTGTGTGTATAATTTTTTTTCTTTTCTTCCTATGTGTGTTGGTGGGTGGAGGGTGGGGCAGTGGTGTCTCATTCTAAGTTTGGATGATAATTTCAACCTTTTAGTTACTACAAAATTTTTATCTAGCAATTTGGACATGGACAGCCAGAAAGATATTTGTTCATTCTTACCTCTTTGCCAATGTACTCTATAGGGGATAAACGACATTACTTGTTAAGATTAAACATTAAACTTGGTATATTTTAGTCTTTTCTGTGAAAATTGAAGACTTTTAATGTTGAATTGTTGGTTTAGAAGATTTCAAAGTTACCAAAGTCTATTAAGTATTCTTTTTCTTCTTCTTCCCTCTTCCCTTTTTTTTTTTTTTTTTTTTTTTGGCAAAGAGGAGGGGGGATCTTCATCTATTTCTAATTACTCTTTCTGCATAAAATGTATTAGGTTCAATTGATTAGAACTTCCCTAGAAATTGAGATATATCTTGCTCAAATTCACATTCCCAAACAGATCAATGAATTTCATAATGATATCTAACATCCAAAAGTTATATATCTAGGGACATTTGCTACCAAGGGATGGGTTTATGTTTAAGCATTGTAGTTCCATGTTTTTGTTTAATTAATGCATACATGCGTGCCAATACACTGCTGTGCTTTTGAATGGTTAGGTTTCCTGTAATGAAGTTCCTATTTCTTGGATTCAGTAATGACTTTACTGTGTTTGCACTTCTTGATGGTGAACTAATTATGTTGCAGAAAGGGTATCCTACTGATTCTGCTTCATATGCTGATCCGAGCATCATCAGCCAGAGACTACCTGTCATCATGCATAAGACTGAAAAGCTTAGAATCTCCAGTAATTTGTAAGGTTCTGAAATGTTTTTGTGTGACTAATTCAAATTATCTGTATGTTGTGGTCATAGAAAATTTTAATCTAGTCTGTTGGGTTATATTCACCGATCGATAACTTTGTTCCAATTTTTTCTTGTTTAATTTTTTATGTATTCAATAAATCATTCTTGAAAAGCAAACAGCATTAAGCTCTCACCACTGATGTTTAAGGTGTTGTAGTTAAAAAAGAGAGAACAAAGATTGAAAACAAAAGGAGTTTCTAGAAGTAGATGAAAATATTAGTCCACAATAGCAGTATGCAGGGAGTAGGGATATCAAAGCATTTGAAGTTTGTAGATGAATCGTGAACCAGGAAACAAGATATATCCTTTTAAGAAATAATGTAATTCATTTTCTGGGCTGATGAAGAAAAGGCTTATCATGTTTCTTGCTAGAAAAGAGCTAATGGAAATAGAGCCTTTGGATTTTGTTTGTTTGGAAATTTCTGGTGTACTTAGGTTGCAGTTGCAGCAAATTTCAGCTGTTTGTAGAGAATTACACAGGAAATGAGTGGAAAAAAAGGTGGATATTGGAAAGCCTTATTAGACCTAGAGTCACTCAGTCATTTTTTCTTGGATACATTCCTGAATGAATCTTGAGAGCTTAATAGGTTATGTTATCTTTTTATAACCTAACCAGGAAAGATGGATAGACTTTAGGAGACTCTGCATAAGCAGCAACAGGGAGGTCTTGCCTTTTTTTTTTGCCAAACTTGAAGGTCTTGTCTGGTGGGCAATTATGGTAACTTTTTGGGCCGATGATATAAAATGGGAGAACCATGGTTCCTTGGTAAATTTGGGATTGCATTTGAATTGATTGCTGAAAAGGTCTTCCCGGAAATTAGCGAAACACTTAATAACTAGGTTGCTCATCAGTCAGACTAAAATTCTTGATATTTGATTCTTTTTCTTTTCCTCTGTTTTTCTCTGCACTGTATTCTTTTTACTGCAACAGATATTAATTAAGTGCTTCATAGAGCAAAGGTCAAGCTTAAGTTACATGCAGTTCAAGAAATCAAGCCCACATAGTGAGGTAAGAAGAAAAACCCACGGACCACTACTCTACTCCTTTCTTTCGAGAAAATCATTAAAACCAAATTACTGTAGACTACTGTATTTGGTGACTTGTAAAAACATTTGAAGCAAAGATGTAGTAATATATGGCGCACACAACATTGACATTGCAAGGATGAAATGGGCCCTATGTAATCCAGCATATTCTGTATCGTATTAGAAGGCCAAATGTGCAAATTGCTCCCCAAAATTGTTGTGCTGAAGCCAATCACCACCCAAGAAAAATGTTGATGCAATTTGCCACCCCAAATTTCTATTTTAAAGAAATTGGCTCAAATTTAACGGTCTCTGTTAAATTCCACTAAACAATTGCTAAGTCTAATGGAAAGTTAACAGTAACTGTTATTTCTTGAAATTCAAAATTTGGGGTGGCAAATTGCGTGAACATTTTTTTTGGGTGGGGATTTGCTTCAATGTGACAATTTGGGGGGGAATCTGCACCTTTTGCCATATTAGAACCAACCTGTCCGAGCCTTTTATCACTTCTTACTGCTAACTTGATGCCTTGAATAGTAATAGTTAGGACAAAAGAAGAAACTGCCACAAGGAAACTCCATAAATATAGGGGTGATGGCCATAGAAAGAATTAATGGGTGAATACGGTTCAACTGTTCATAAGAAGGAGGTTTTTTTTTTTTTTTTTAAAACCATTGGCTAAGGCGCTATAGTCAATGTCAAATGTTCTCTTCATCCTTATCTTCTTCATTGCCAAGTCAATCTCCATTAACAAGCTTACCAATATTACTGCTTTTATTTTGTCTGGGCATCATTATTTCCCTTTACTTGTAGGTGTTTTTTTGTGTCGAAGGCAGAATCACCACTGTAACCAATCGTATTTGCTTGGACACTTAGAAAGTGATAGATAATGTTAATGTAATGTATTGGTAGGAATGGTTTTGAAAGGTAGAGAACATTTGATCTTTCAATATCTTTATTTTCCTATTTTTAGTTCTATTGGTATCTATTTCCCTTCTCACCAAAGCTTTTTGAAAGATTAGGTGCATAATTGTGATCACGTATGGAATTCTAGAATGTGCATTTAGCATCTAGTCATAGTTCTATGGATGCATGGGAAAAAAGTGAGTTTTACTAATCTTGCAATATGTGATAATGATAAATCATTTGATGCCAGTTTCTTGAGGATATAACAAATAATTTAGTGCTCTCTGTTAATGATCAGTTGTTTTTGGTGAAATTAGTTAGGCTGAAGTTCATATTATGATGCTTATCTTACGAAAATCTTCCTCAGTCATGATGATTTATACAATTATTACATAGTTCAGATGAAATAATTCGCAGAAAAGAAAAAAATAATAATAGAAGACTGATTTCAGTAACTAGCATGCCAATACCTTTTACAGATTAGGTGATGTATTGGAATAATGCACGTGGAATTATTTAGGCATTGAGAGATGAAAAGTGAGTGGTAATGGGGATTATTCTATGGCTCTTGTGGTAGCGTCCAGTTAGTGGAGAGAAAACATGAAACCACTAAGGCTTATACAACTTGGAAGAAGTAGAAAATGGAATAAACATTGTGATGTATCACTGAAAGGATATTTTCTTGGTGTTTCTTCTAGCTTAATTAGTAGAACCAGAACTCTGACTCACGGAGGCTGCTAGGCTCCTATCTGAGTTAGTTATCTATACTGGATGGCTGAATGAATTAGTAACTCTTCTGTTGGAAAGGAATTTAAAGAGACTTCAAAACTTGAAGCAGTAGAATAGATTGATCAGAGTCTAAGATTTAGGTCGAGGTTGGATGATTCTAATGATGTTTCTGGTTGTTTTTGATTTAAGCAAAAGCTGCCTGGCCACATCAGATCCATTGCATCCTCTAGTGTGAAAGGCATAAATGCCATTCCGAAGCCTGCGTTGGCATCATTTAACCTGGCTACACTTGCAGTTCCATCTCTGTGTGTCTTGTGCACAAGAGAATGAGCTTGAACACCCAGTGATCGAACCATGTGGGTATTGATAGGCATTCCCATGGTTGACATCATCCTGTGGGATTGGTATCTTCTAACTGCACCTCTCTCCCTCTTGTGTGCATTCTGATGCCCGCCTAATGCTTGTGAACTGAAAAACTTTCTCATGCAGAAGTTACATGAGAAAATTTTGGTGGAAGCTGGTCTTGCTCGCAATTTAGAATCTCCATTTGTTGATAGCAAATTCCCACCTAGGCTTAGGTTCAGCCACCCTCCTTGATCTTCCTCATCCATTGCTTCACTATAATCATCATTGGCTCTTGACTCACTGTAATGTTTGTTGGTGGATGTACTTTCAATGGCTTCTTCTCTTGGGAGAGTCATTTTTCTATTGATCAGAATTAGGTTGGGTGTCAAAGAAAGTGGAAGGGATTCAGAGGCTTTATAGAATGATTGTAGGTTACTTCTGAGTTTGTTCAAACTTGGAAAGTGAAATAAATGGAGACAATGGAATTGGTTTTTCTGTTCTTTAATCCCTTTTAATTTCATAGGCCCCGCCTGCTGATGCTTGGTGTTCCCTGGGGACAATGCCCAAGTCATTCCTAACGTGACTCTTATAAAGCTTAGGATTCTCCACTTTCAAGTTTCATCTTTCTCTCTCACTCTCTTTCCTCAAATCAAAAACACTTTTCATGATTCTCTTCAGACTAACTAAAGAAATTCTAGGTTGACAATCCAACAACAATTCCGTTGATGCTTGAAATCATTATCTTCCAATATATTTATCCTGCTTTCCTTAAGCTTCTAGTATCACCCATTAAACAAGTTAATCTACCCTACTTTGGTAGCTTTATAGGTCTAAGATCGTGAATCTATAAGTCTGTTCTATTAGCTCTCTTTGCTTTGATTTTTCATTGAATTTGTTTAATAGCAGGTTGCTTTTTAGCATTTATTTTGCTAATAAGTGAGTTTAGAAAGAAAAAAACTACTGGCAATAAAGGTTTGTTAGGTATATTTTCTTTTTTTTCCTAATTGTTAGGTTAGGGAGTATAAAATCATAAATCGGTGCAGATGATTAGAGATTATATGTTGTCACTCATTAAATGTAGCCTAGACTCAATAAACTGCTTCATGGTGCGGTGGGCACAAGCTACACAATTGACTAAGACAGTTTTTATGATTAGTTATATCTGTCATCTTGGATAGGTATAAATTATGATAAAAATGGCACCCACTAGAAAAAGAAGTAGCTCCTGTTTGCTGAAGTGAGTGCATGATAAGCTTTGTTGAATAAAGATATTGGGCGGTGGTGGGATTAGCGTGTGGTTTATTGCCTTTGAGTTATTGTTTTGTGGGGAGTAATGGGCCCCAGAGAAATGCCAATAATGGTGGTAAAAGCAGAAAATAAGATAGGATCGTATCTTACTATTTTAATATGTTATTTCTTTTCGACAAGAATATCTGCACTGGAGTCTTCATGTTGGGGCTTCTCTGGTTTTCTTGACAACACGTGGTGGTCTGTGCCCCAAAAGGCTAAGAACTTGAAACCCTAAGTTGGAGGTCTCAAGTTCAAACCTTGAGATAGGTGGGGTGGGATTGGGGAAAGGGGAGGGTTTATCCCCCTATCTGTTTAGCCCATCATTAGATGAAGTGGGCAATGTTTATGCACGGTAGGAAGTGCATAAAAGATCCACTTTCAGTAAACTGATTGCTCCTTTTGTTGTAAACTAAGAGGACAGGAGGAACAGCTTGGTTCCCCAAGTATTTTACCTTCTCGTGCCCACACTTGAAGTAGGGGCATATGTGATTGTCCATTATAATTGATATACAAGCATGCATACTTTATAAGATGGACTTTGCACCCAAGAAATTTCTTTTTGTTCCAAAGAGTGAGTTGTCTACTTTTTAGTTAGTTGCCCTATTAGATGATTTATATTCTCTTCACTGTTGATACTTGATAATACTACTGATAGAGATGATCATGAATTCGGCATAAACTTTCTCCATGGTGTGTTGAATTGACGAGTCAGAAAGATCCCAGACAGAAATCAGATTCTCAAAGCTGTGGAATTTGCTCCTAACACCCAGGTCCCAGGCTATTATGGCTGCAAAGCATAAGAATCAACGAAATGATTTCTTGCTAACGTGTAAGTAACCTGATATAATTTATGCTAATTCCTACGCTGTTGACAACGTTTATCATTCCTTTTACTTGATTTAGTGCTCGCATAATATCGGCAGACATTGAAGTTGGGGTTAAGGAGGGTGAAGTCATATTTACTGTAAAGGAGGATATATTAGTTCATGGGAAAATAGTCTGAAACACTCAAGAGAACATTTGATTGTGGATTGCTTTTAATGGATTCTCCAGTAATTATTGATAGTTGATAGATCTAAAGAGAATAAGATGGACGGTGCAGAGGATGAGATGAGATAAGAGATGAAGATTATTATTGATAACGAAGATGATGCAATGTGGTGGTCAAGTGGATGGATGATGGCATCACTTTTTGAAGAACTTTCATGAGCTTTGCTTTGTAAGCACTTGTTCTAAAATAACAACAGGTTGATTCTTAAAAGGTCTCCATTACAAAAGCTCTGTTTTTTTTTTTTTTTTTTTTTTTGGCTAGATCCATTTAAAAGGATCTACTTGCCTGCTTTTGTGAATGAGGTTACATTTCCATCCAATTAACCATAGTAAACATGAGATATTTCTTTTGACGTGGATAAGAGTCATTAGATAAAAGGAGGACGATTCTCTGGTATTCTTTTTGTTATGCTCGTACAATTGAGGTGTCATATGAATTTTTTTTTCCTTTTTGGCCGGCAGGTGTCATATTATTAAAATTTAGGATTTTAACTTTTAAACAAGGGATTGCTTCTTTTCTTAAAAAAAAAAAAAAAAAAAGCAAAAGAAAAAGGAAGAAGAAGAAGAATAAGAAGAAAGAAATTGAGGGATAGCTTCTCCCTTGTAGGTTGTTGTTGGCGCTATTAAGTATGGTTATTTTCTTTCCCATTTTTTTCCTATGGTAAGTTTATATCAAATTCTTTCAAAATGTATTGTATTCCTTCCCTCACAGAACAATAAACTGCTTTTTTAATTTTATTTTCAAATTAAAAATTTTGATAAAATTTTTATTTTTGTTTATTTTACTCTTAAAAATAAATAAAAATAATTAAAGTTAAAAGATAATTATAGGGTTAAAAAAGAAAAAATAGTTGTCTCTCTTAAAATATGAAAAAAGGGTTATTATTCTAGGCAAATTTTAAATCAAAAGGTGTTTATTATTTTGGGATAGAGAAAGTATAATCTAAGAGAAAATAAAAAAAATCAGGATGTTTTAATATGTAGCTTAGTTGATAAGGGAATTAATCAAAGTTTGATTTCTTGAGGAGGTCAATAAAAAGATAATTTTTTATGAGTTCCTCAGTTTAGTGTGGATGGTTTACTTTTGATTACACTGCAGGGGAGGTGCTCATAAGTTGGCCTAGGATATCTTGACTGCCAAACAAAAGAAAAATTGTTAAGATTGTCTATAAAATTAATACTACTTATTAAATTTTGCTGTTATCAAGGGTTAAAATGCATTAAGACTCAAAAATTAAAAAATGAGTATAATTTTATCAATGTCTAGATAACTTTTCTGTTTATCAGTTGATTTTAATCTTTTCTTTATTAAATCTAATTTTAAATTGTGATTTTAATATATTTATTTTTCATTATTAGTCAAAAACTGAAGATTACATAGATTCAAATTAAAATTATTGCTTTATCTACAAGATAAATAAAATTAAAAAATTCTATTTAAATCTAATTTGAATATAACTATTTTAGATTAGGTTATTTATTTAGAATTCAAACTTCACCTTATTAAATTTTTATTTAAATTCATAATTAATCTCATTATATTATC